AAAATAGTATGTGTATACACACACACACACACACACACACACACCAAGTACGTACGCACGCACACACGCTTGTTATGTATAGCATATATGTTCAGCATCAAATTTATGTAGATAGATCTAATCTTCATTTTTTATATCTCGATTATTAATCATTATCATCATCATAATTTGTAAATCTATTTCTATTTTCCTTTCCTATTCTTTCTCCTTTCTACTCGATTTAATCGCACTTTGTATGCTTTTTCTCTTTTTGTCCTCGAACCTAAATGTGCATTTTAAATGTGCGAAACTGAAATGAACTGAGCTTTTTTCTAAATAAATTTTTTATGTATGTTCTATATTTAGTTAACTCATGAAGTAATAAATCTATTTTTAATCCTGAAGCTGAGATCTACGAAAATTTTTTTTATACAATTATATATTTATATAATTTTTTTACGGGCATGCTTTTATGTCGCAATCTATTCTTGCATTTTTTATTCTAAACGTGATGTGAGGATAATTGATAATTTTAAAAATAAATATTTTTCTAATATGCTAATAAATTGCTATGTTCTTCATTGAATTTTATTCATGGAAGCTAGGAAACTGGAATTAATGAATTAAATTTTTATTAAACATTTTTTATTTCTATTAACAAAAGAGATCATTTCTTCCGAATATCTCATTGCGTATTTCTTTAGAATTATATGACGCAATATTCATGCGCGCGCGCGCACGTGACATACAACATAGTGAAATAAGTAATTTTGTGTTCTCGTTCTTAACATAAAGTTACGCGCAACCCCTTTCCGTTAATTTTCCGGGAACAGCAAGTACGCGACAAAGAATTAAATACCTGTCTCTCTCTTTCCTAACTCATAAGTAATCTCATTCCGAGGCGCATAATAAATTTTCCTTTATCGCTCTTTCTATATTTAACCATATCTCTCTCTCTTTCTTGCGCGCGCGCGCGCGCGCGCGCGCTCTGTTTCCGTTTTGCTCACTGTTTATTTTTCTCGCGTTACGCGACCGCGCGTAGGCGTATTCTCTCTTTCGTTCCATTCTCTCCTCTTGCTCCTTCACTCGTACATCATGTGTTGTTTTGCTCTCCCACCTTCCTCTCTGTCTCCGTCTTTTTCTCTCTTTCTCTGATATGTGTGTGCGTGCTTGTGCGTGTGTGTTCGAGCGATCGGCTTCTCCCGTCGGCGTTCGAAGCGCAGTTACCTCACGCGGCACTTTCGTATCGGTTGTATCGCGACGGTTGTGCGTATCGTCGCCGTTTACGACGTAAAATCAACGCGTGAAATCACGTTCGCGAGTACTCAACGGCCAACGGGTAGTGATAATCGGTTCCCCTTGTGATTTTACAGTGTGATCGCGGGTAAATGTGGTGAAACGCAGTGGGGAAAGGAATAGCGGAGAGCAAGAGAAGAGCACGGTCGCGGCACAGAGGAGGAAGGCTGAAACTGACGACTGGACAATCGCGAAGTGGAGACGAAAACATCGGGAGGAAAATAAACTACGTTTCCTGACGCGTTAAAAAGAAAAGGGACGCCAAACGTTGAAGAGGACATTCTTTCAGGGTGTTAATAATCGATCGACTAAGATAGTGATCAACGAAGATAGAAAGATTCGTTAGCGCTCGATTCACCAACGAAGAAGGAAAACATTCGAAGAGAAAACAAAACATTTGGAACTTGGTAGGCGCGACTTTGTTAAACGAGTGAAATCCATCAAAAAAAATCGCGTTTGACGAAGGCGGAAGAGACTTCGATCGAAGTATCCGTTGGTCGCTATTACGCACAACAGACGCAGTGAGAAACTTCGAGAATCAAGGAGGATAGCAGCGGTGTAGAATTTTCCGCGCATATCTCGGCCGCGATCTGTCGTCAATTTCGCCTGCCGTTGCCGCCGCTGTCGCCGTCGCCGTCCACGGATTGGTGCGCGTTCCTCTCATTCGGTGCGCGTTGTGTCGTCATCGTTGCTACTTGTGCGTGTCGTGCGCGCGGTTACGCGGCCGAAGATAGCCGAGGCGCGGCGGAGTCGCCCGAGGCGACGCGGGACGGCGCGACGCGACGCGACGCGACGCGGCGCGGCGGCCGAAGACATCACGATTACGTATAACCAAGCCGATCCTTCCCCCTTCATTCTCGCTTGTGCGCCCGTCGTACGCGTATGTGCGCGCGCGCGTCGTGTGTGTGAGTGTGCGTGCGCGTGCGTCCGTGTGTGTAACTCCGTCACGTGTGTTGGCGCGGGAACGTGCGGCAGAAGAAGGGGGAACAAACGCGAACGGAAGCAGCCAGGATTACTCCAAACCGAGGAAATATGAGCATTGCTGCCCTAATACAAGCCGCCGAGTACATTGAACGAAGGGAAAGAGGTAGGTACTTGCGTTTCTTCTCTCTCTCTGTTTCTCTGTCTCTCTCTCTCTCTCTTTTTCTCTCTATTTTACTCACCTCGTACATACAACGCAGTACAACGTGCGCAGTTAAAATTTTCTATAAAGCTCGTATCACATTGCAGAATGATTGATGATAAACTTCAGGCTCGTTCTTTTTCGCTTTTTGCATCGTGTTTATCTTTTTTCTCCTTTTCTCCAATACGAAGAGAGAAAGAAAAAAGAAAGATGCAAGTTCAGATAAGAAGAACAGCTAATTGTTCTTATCTGAACAATAGTTCATAAGAATTTTAGAAAAAAAAGATCACCTGATACAAATTAATTCGATAGCCACGCACAATATGAATGAATTTCTTTTAAGTCATTATGAATTCAGGAGAATCTAAACATTTCTAAAATAATTATCATGGTTTACACACATATAGAAATTTAAAATTAAGTGATAATGATACGACTTTATCGTTAATAAATATCTTTAGTGCAATGTTTATTCAAGAATTGAAGCTATTATCTATAGCGTATATCCATATATCAGTGTTTCTTGCGTATCAACTTTAATAGTAAATATTTTTGAGAGATTCTTAAAGATTCGGGAGATATCTCAGAAGTAGATTACATTGTGATTGAGAATGGTACATTCTCTGCGCGACGTGTATCTACGAAATTCGCACGGTTTATAAATATTGAATCATTGCTATCTTTATTTTCCTAATGAATCGCATATGGCGCAATGATCTCATTTTATCATCTCATTTACAACGTTGCTGCGTCGCACTAGAGCGATGTCCTCCCCACGTGACGTGCACGTCGCTTTCCATGCGCGCGCGCGCGCGCGCGCGCGCGAGTGCCTTTATTCCCTCGTGCGTCGTACTACGTTAGAGATTTACGAAGGAGTTGCGGAGTTGCCACGTACACGTGGAATCATAAAACGCCTTAACACATGAAAATTGCACGTATATTGGCGTATTCGAAGCGCGCGCTTTCTATTCGCGTATCGTCACTATAACGATATTTATTACGATAATATTCGAGAGACAATCTTAAAACAGCCGGAGGTGATATTTCGGAGCATTGAATATTAATATTTAACGAATAAAAATACTATAATAATAAATAATAATTAATAATGTAATCGCAAGAGCGATATTTTTTTTGAAGCGACACTCGTAACGTTTAGACATTTAGGCATTTATGATCCATAAAATTTCGATTTTATGGCACACTTTTGTAAAATAAATGTATGAAAATAAAATATTATTGCATATCGCGTTAAAATAATGTGATTCTCTCAAAAACACTTGTTTTTGAAATCTTTTACGTTACTATTAAATTTGGGGTATGCAGAGAGAATCTTGTGTAATATTATTTCTTGAAAGCTTGTGTTGTAATATCATTTCGTGACCGTGAAATCAGATGCGCGTGGCGCTATAAAACGGTTCATTCATCTTGTTATTAGCAAAATTTTTGTTGAAATAAATCGTACATAAATTTTCTATATACAATTTTTATGAAAAAATAAAATTTCGATTTAAATTTAGTCTCAATCAACCGCGATCTCTTTATTTATGGAAATTTATTTTAGAATCTATCTATTTTTATCTGATTTCGAGTATCTGTTAGTCTTAATTTAATCCGAAGTTCTATTTATATAAATTCAATGTGTCTATTTCGATTCGTCTTGATACATTTGATTATCTCAATTTAATTGACATCTATTTTTAGTAAGTGTATTTAATAAGAATTTGATTATATAGGTTAATCTATGATACATATTTTGTTATTATTTATCATTTTATTATTGAGTTATGCAGTTCTTTTCGCTTGAAAAAAATCACAAAATGAGACAATTGTATTCTGAATGTAATATTCTTTTGAAACGGTAAAAATATGAAATAGTCTAACAAAATAAAGCATAATTTAATATCCATTGCAGTATCCATTTTTAATAATGTAGATTAATTACCAGTGTAGATTAATACCAAATGTAGATTAATTTTATTCTCAGGTTAACTTTCTATTCATTTTTATCCATTTTTTTCTAACAAATTTAACAAGTTTTGAAAACAATTTAACAAGTTTTGAATTCTAATTTTCTTGCAACTTAAGTTGTTTTTAGGATATTTGTAATGTCTTTCGAAATACACAAAAATATTATTAAAGATAGAGTTATGCGATATTAAGAATTTGCAATTGATAAAGATAATATTTAATTGGAAAAGCCGTTTTGTAATTTGAAAATGATTTTAAGTTTGTATTTATTATCGATTTATATTTTGAGCGTCTAAAATTTAAAGTCATTAACTTTAGAATATTATAGATAATAATTATATTACATATAAATATAAATATGCAATTTCATTCTATTTATCGTATTATCATCTTGTGATTACAGAAGCTGAACATGGCTATGCTTCAACGATGCCAATACCCGATGATATGCGGACGATTACAAAGAGGCCAAAGACGAAGAAGTCCCAAGGCAGCAGGTTCGTGTCTATTAAAATATCTTTTAAGAAACATAGAAGTTTTTTTTTTTCGATTTTTTCGATTTTCTAAAAGACAAAAGTTTTTTTCAAATTTATATTGCAAATGTTAATATTGCATGTGTGCAATTTGCAGACTGCATTAGTTCGTTTAACAATTACACATTTGACTTTGAAATTATAAAGAGAGGAATGCTGTACAAATTTTTCAATTTTTTATATTTAGCATAATTCGAAAATTTTGCAAATATTTCGTCAAAGCTCTGAAACGTACTCTTTTATAAAAGCATCGGGTTACTTCAATGCGATATACAATATTTGATTATAAAGAGACGTTTATTTTATAAAAGCATTCCATAAAATCGTAACTTTCGGAATTCAGTATTTCGTGTGCAATAATCCAAAATATTGTCAATTTAATTGCTTGTGATTTATCGAACGCGACTACGTGTATTGCTACACATACTATTGTCTCAATTGTAATCTGGAATTATTAATAACTGTGTTTGCAATATTTTTTATGGGATCAATTTCCGCGTTTGTTTTTATGTCACCTATTTGTATCAACCTGAGAGGAGAGGTATTACTATTGTAGAGTTCGATTTTTGTTCTCGTTACAAATCCCGTTTTTGCTGCTACTTCAAAATGAAATAATATTTTTATATTTTTATTTTCAGAACGACTCATAATGAATTGGAGAAAAATAGGTGAGTGTTTTATAAAGTATAATGTTAATTGCTTTACGCGTAAATTATATTTAAAAATTATAGATAGTAACATACGAAGCAAATTAGTAATATATACATATTTATAATAATAATAATGTTTATATGTTTTATTATTATAAATTCATAACTTATAATTAAATATAATTTACGTAATTTGAAGAGTAAAATGTTAAGAATAAATTATTGTAATAAATAATTGATAAACCGAGTTAGTTAACAACATATTAATCATAAAAATGTACTTACATATATTTTCGTTATTTTTAATGCTAAGCAGACTTAAATATTTGTCAGAAATAAGCGATATTGAAGACAAAGCTCGAATGATAAATTTATTTTTATTTTATATGTATTTTATGTTAAAAATTTATGCATTTTAAACAGATTTATAGATTTAATTTGTGAAAATAATTTGCCATAGATAAGATTAAACTTATATATAACTTATTGAAGATGTAAATTCAAATAGAATTAAAATCTGTTAAAAATAAATTGGGATGAAATCAGAACATGTAAAACATTTAATATATCAAATTAACCTTTTGATATCACTTCCATCGAAAATAAAAATTAAATTACCAATGGCAATCAATACATTTTGTGTGGGTAGTAAAAAGGAAGGCGGAAAGATAATTGTACAGAACACTGAATTTCAACGATTAGATATTAGATTATTAACTTGAAGAGCCAAAAATAAAAAGAAAATATACTTCGAAAATATGTGTTATTGCGTTATGTAATACAAATACGAGATGTAACAGAGTGCCAGCGGGTTTTTACATTGGCCGTTTCTGTGTCACGCCAGCCCTTGTGTAACTTTCTCTCCCCCTCTGATTCCTCTCCCCATTATAACCACTATTCGCACATAGGCTGCTTGGATGTAAAAAAAATCGATAGTCCGCTTGCGACCATCTCGCTTTCTCTCTTATTCTCTAGAGTACCTCCTATTCTCTCTTTTTCTCTTCATGCATCGCTGACTAGTTTTGAACCCCTCTTCTCTCTTTTTCTCGAAATATTTATAGTGTTACAAAATCTTTTTAAAAGTTTATCAAATTCTTTATAAACAAAGCGTAAATAAGTAAATAAGTTTAAAAAAAGTATTACAATAAATTATTGCAAGAAATAAGCGTATAAAATATAGAGAAAATGTTATTCTCTCTTTCAGTTATATTAATCATCTTTTCTATAATTTGCGAACTTTCTAGTCAATTTCAGATTAATTTTAACTCGATATTTTATGTTTATTTTTTTATTACATGTTTCTTATTACATATTTTAAATTTTGTATTTTTAAGATAATATAACAATACGAATTTTCCATACATTTTCACGGATTTGACAGCGTAAAGAATGTAAAAAGAAACTTGGACATTATATTTTATAAATTATCTCACGTAATACGCAAGACTTGATTATCAGATTTTTATTTTATAAAAACCTCTTGTAATATTTACAAAATAGCTTGTAGAAATATATCTAGACACATACAAACGCTTATATATTTCTAACATGATATTTTTTAGTTAATATATTTTTTTTCTGATGAAGATTAGATGGATCTTTTTTCTTATTTTCTTTGGAGAATATAAAGTTGGATTTTATTGGCTAATTTTGTTTACGCGTCCGTATCAATGGCGGATGGTGCAACCGCTGCATAAGTATGCAGCACGTGTGACAAGCATACTTACGCGGCATACAAAACGCGGAAGCCAATGGCATACTGTCCTAAATTTGGACGCGTCGCGCGGCGGAAATAAATCCATGGCGAATTTACGCGCGCGGCCCGAATCGTACTACGCATTAAAGGCTGCAGTTAAAATTGCATCACGATCGACGATCGGTGATCCTTCATATCACGACAGTAATCTGGATTGTCATTTAGTTTCTCGCAGCTATCCTTTTTTTTTTTAATTTTCATTTTATAATTTACTTATAAAAATATAATTTAAAATTACTACGAAAATATTGTCTCAAGTGATAAGTTAACGATATATTAATGCTGTTACATAAACATAATTGTAAATATTTTTCTTCGAATATCTTTTTTGGACTTAAATAAACTTTAATAAGTTCAGTCAGAAGTTCAAAATAATCTTTTTTTTTTTCTTTCGTCACAGTGTTTACAGAAGTTGTTATCTTTACTGTTATTGATTAAAAAGATCGTTGACCGATTTCGTGATCAAAAATTGGAAACTGCGATATAAAATTACATACTTGATGCTCACATTCGAAAATTAATATAAATTAATTTGAATTGATATAAAAATTTGGAAATATAAAATATTAATATAAAAAGTTGAAAGAAGAATTGATATAAAATATTGAAAGCTTGAAAGAGCAACTTAAAGCAACTTTGGTTTGAAATTAATTAATTTCAGAGATTATCGAGTTATCTCTGTCAATGTTATCGAGTTGATTGGCGAGTATAAAAGTGATAAGTAATCGCTCGCTTGCGTGTTATTTGTACGAGTCATTATATATGGAATAGCGGGGTTTCCCCGAATGTCTAGGGAGAGGACATCAGGTCAGCCGGAAAACGAAAGCTCGACAAATGGCTGCGCCAGCGCGAGTGAAAATGGCGCCGTTCCCGGCGCCTGTAGACGGATCTCTGGCCCATTTGAAATGCATTGAATTTTTAAGTGCCACCCTTTGTGCCGTTTGCTGCCGCCGCGAGATAGCCAACTTCCGGTTCGGTTCCCCGCTAGTCTTCCTACAGCTTTTCATAATTTTGACTTGAACTTTACCCGACTAGTTCTAGCTTAACCCCTTTTAATTTTGATACAGATCATGAGAATCTGTACCAAAAAGAATCTGTACCCAAAAGAATAGATTTTATATATTTCTTTTTATATATATATATATTTATATTTCTTTGCTTCAATTAATGAATAATAGTTTTAATAATAGTATGAATTTATAAATCTGTATTTACTTAATAATTCATTAATTATTAATATACGTGATATATATACAATAACTTGTAATAATACATATAAAATTTTGTGAAATTACAAAAATCTCTCTCTCTCGAAAAAAATATAACTATTTTAATTAGTCTTAATATGATTGTCGGTAAATTATATAAATATTAAATTATCTAAATTAAAACAACTATAAAATAGTAAAAATTGAATAAACAATTTATATGATTTTACTTTTTAAAAAATCGTCTTTTGGTTATTAAAAACGGAAGCAATCAAAATGTGGAACTTCAATAGTTCCACATTTTAATTACTTCTTCGTTTTTAATAACCAAAAGACGATTTGATAAAGATACAAAGTGCTTAAATAAATCTGCATTATTTTTTTATACAAAGCTAGGGGGAGAGGAAGCGATGAGAGAATGTTAAACAAGGACCTCGGTGCGCAAATAGGCGGATCGATTGTTAAAAGAAATTATGTGTTGTTTAAAGAAATTATGTCGTATATCGGATGCTGCTCAAGTTATTGCAGGGCAAAGATTCAAGTCGCGTAAACGTTCGTGTTATTCGCGTGCAGTATCGTTGCGTTTAAAGTGAAAGCTGAAAACTTTAACACGTACAAGTTTATTAATTATTCAACCTCGAAGCTATGACGCTATGAACGGCCAGCGTTTCGGGGCAGAAATTTGGTTACGGATGGAAAATACGGTTTTGGGAAGGGCTCGCGATACAATGTAAAAGAGAAGTAGAAGCGAGAATAATTTAATCTCAGAATTGATACGTGCGCAGACGCGGTACGTATCCTTCGCGAGATGCACGGAGCAGGATGCGGGTTGACTTCGGGGTCAAGGACGACTCGGCAGAGCATGCACCCTGTACACCTCCTTTCATTCTCTAACGTTAGGGAGATGCCCGGCGTTGTTTAGAGCATCGACCGACCTTGGTTATAAGCGTTATATGTCGAATCGTTGCATATGGAACATCAGATTCCAATAGTTTTACTACTCGGTGGTACACTCTCATAAAATAAACATTTTCTGATAATCATGTATTGCATAATAAATAGCGTTGAAGTGATATGATTCTTTTACGAAGTATATCTCAGCTTTTATAAAGTGTTCGTGACTTTTCACATTGTAATAAATTTGTAGAAAATTGATATAATAATACTCTATAATTTTAAAGTTGGGTATGATGTTATAAAATTTATATTTGTAAGATAAATTCTACTCTCTTCAAGAAAATTAGAATTTAAAAAAAAAAAAAGAAAAATAAATATCAATGTACCAAATTTCTCAATTTCCAGTTTAGGAAGCTGAAAACATGTTCTTAATTGCCATTCCTTTTTGTCTTGAAAATTTTATCTCCGATCATATATTGTTTATAATACATTAAATTCCCAAAGAAATAATATACATATATGTATATTATTTCTATAAGTTTATAATAGCCAAAGAAATAATATACATATATGTATATTACTGAACTTACACGAAATTAAATAAAGTTAACTTGTTTAAACTGGCATAAGCTGAAAAGGGTAAGGAAAAATAGAGAGGGTAGAAATATTTCATGTGCTATCCCGCGTAAGAACGACGCGAGCATTAGGGCCCACAGACCCTTCGCTTGTCTCGACATCTCTGGGCAGTTCACCATTGCCACTTTGAAGCTCGTCCACCTTGAGCTCTGAACAGTGATTCTCATTTCCCGTGTACCTTTACTCATTTCTTGACACACAATAAATATATATATATATATATATATATATATATATGTGT